GAGGCTGAGGTGAGTGGATTGCCTGAGCCCGCGGTTTCGAGACCCACCTGAGCAACTTGGTGAGACCTCATCTCTACAATAAATCAACTGAAATTAGCCGGGCACAGTAGCACGTGCCTGTAGTTCCAGCTACTTGGAAGGCTGAGGAGGAAGGATCACTGGAGCCCAGGAGGTCGAGGTTGCAGTGGCCGGGAGCGGCCACTGCACTCCAGTCTGGGCGACAGAGTGAGACTCCAACTCAAAAAAAAAAGAGAGAAAGAAAGAAAATAAGTAATGTAGAACATGTCAGGTGGCAACAGCAGTGTGAAGAAAATAAATCAGGATAAGGCAGTGCGTTATTTTGCGGTGGTGAGAAAAGGCCTGATTGATAGAGTGACATTGAGCAGACACAAAGAGAAGGAGGAGCCACTGAAGACCTGGGGGATATGACCATAGGCCAAGAGCGGTACAAGGAGTGTTTAGTCCTAGCAGGGTGTGTGTGAGGTGGAAGGAACAGCGAATGAAGCAGAGAGGGGGACAGGAGGGTAGAGGACAGCAGGGCCCAGTCAAGTGGGGCCTTGCGGGCCAGGGTAAGGTCTCTTTATTTACTCTGGGTGAGATAAGGAGCCATGGCAAGATTTTGTGCAAAGGCAGGATATGATAGGACTTGAATTCTAGAAGGATCCCTCTGGCTGTTGTGTCCAACTGTGAAGGGACAAGGGCAGGGCCAGGGGAACCCTGGGAGGCTGTTACAGTTATCCAGGTGAGGCGCGGTGGAGGCAGAACCGAGATGGCGCCAGGGGAGGTGTGTAGAGTGGTCAGATCCTTGGTGGGTTGTAAAGAAGAATGACAGGATTTATGCACAGATGGGGCACAGGGAAGGAAAAGACAAGCAACTAACAAACAAATAACGTGCTTAATCTTCACCACAACCCTCTGAGGTAAGTAGCATTATGTCCATTTTATAGATGAAGAGATTGAGGCTTGCCCAAGGGAACACAGCTCAGTAGAGAGAAGTCCGCCATATCCACCCTTGACCCCAGTGTCGTAGCCCAGACCAAAGTACCCCCAGACCAAAGTATCCCCGGTATCAAAGTATTCCCGGTACAAGTGGTAGGTCCCCTTTCCCCTTGCAGTTTAGTACCCCTTCCCCTGGGGTTCTCCTCAGGGTGCCCCTGGATCTGGGGAGACCCTGGATTGAGCAGAGCTCAGCTGCCCACAGCCTGTGCTCAGAGCCACCTTTTCCCCCATGGCTCTGGTGACAGCCCTGCTCCTCTTCTCAACCCCGATTCCCCTCCTGTCACTTGAGCCAGGCCCCAGTCTAGGCCCACTGGGCTTCTTCATCCTTCTTCCCTTCCCCAAAGCCTTCCTGCTTGAGATAGGGAGCTGGCATGGCCTCCCTACTGGATGCTCCCATTGGCCCCCAGCCGGCTCTGGCCCGCACATGCAGAGAGTAGGGTCCCTGCGGAGCCAGCACCCAACCAGGCAAGGGCTTCCCGACATGCCCACCCCACACCTCTCCTGCTTCTGCATGAGACTGCTGAGGTGGGCTGACCCAGATAGGTAGGACCTGCAGGCTCCTCCGCCCCAGCACAGCCCACCACAGGCAGGGTGTCCAGGTGGGAAAGCAGCAGGGGCAGCCCCCACAGTCCCACTTACGGTGACAGTGTCGTAGCCCAGAAAGCCCTCCATGCTGCCCGTGCCATACTGGATGGACAGAGACTTGTCCATGTTCTGGAAGGTGGAGGATTTGGATGGGTCAAAGCGGTGATGGTTTTCTGAAACACAGACCCAGAGTTAGGGGGCCTTAGAATTTTCTCACCACTCACGGTGCCAGCCAGAGCTGAGATCCTCATCAGCCCTTGTAAGAATATGGTTTGAAATGCTGGCCATTCTCTCTCTAGAAAATAAACTGCCCACTCTCTGCAAACTTGGACCCACAGCTTATTAAGAAAATGACTCACTGCTGTTCAATCCACCTGTCTGGCTCCCAGTGCTACCTGTGTAGCTTCCACACAAAAGAGAAAGGAAAAAAACATGCCTGTGGTTTCCATGGACTTTTTTTTTTTTTTTTTTTGAGTCGAGTCTCATTCTGTTGCCTAGGCTGGAGTGCAGTGACACACTCATGGCCACCGCAGCCTCGACCTGCTCTGCCTCAGCCTTCTAAGCAGCTGGAACCACAGGTGTGCACCACCACACTCAGCTAATTTTTTGATTGATTGTAGAGACGACATCTTGCCAAGCCGCCCAGGCTGGTCTCAAACCCATGGGCTCAGGCAATCCTCTCCTCTCTGCCTCCCAACGTGCTGAGATTACAGGTGTGAGCCACCGCACCTGGCTTCCATGGACATTTTCCTTTTATCAGCCGAATAATCTGAGCCAAGTCCCTTTCCTCTCTGAATCCTGGTTTCCTCTGTAAAATGAGGACAAAGGGAGCACCAATTTCCCAGGACTGGTGGAGAAATAAATGATTAGCATATGTTAATCCGATTGACATATGTTAGTATGATTAACATATGTTAGTATGTCATATTAACGTGTGTTTATTCATCATTTGTCACAGATTCTCTCACTGTATTCTCCCAGCACCCACTGGCATGTATAGCCCCATTTTATAGAAAGGAAAACTGAGGACTCAGGAGGGTGAGCAGCTTGCATTGGCTCCCAATAAAGACAAAAACAAAAACAAAAAAAAACCCTAAGACTGCTTTTTAGCTTAGACCTGTGACTTTCAAGTTTTCCCTATCTGAGGCCAGTTGGGAGACTGAGGGAGGAAATGGGTCTCAACCAGGGGACGGGGAAGGTCAAAGCCAGCTGTCCCACCCCTCACGTTTCTCCCCCACACCCTGGCCACTGGTGGTGTCTGACCACGGGGACAAGGGAGGAAGGGCAGTAACTCACGGCAGGCATCGCTGTTGCAGTCAACAGAGGGTACCCAGAGGTCAGAGGAGCCCGTGTCAAACACCACAGTGAATTCCTGGGGTGGGGTCCCGATGGAAATCTTCCCAAAGTACTGACACTAGGGACAGACAGCACTGGGTCAGAGGCAGGGAGTCATTAGGGAGGGAGGGTAGGGGCTGGGCGTGGGGTGTGAGTCGTTTTAGGTCCTCTGTCCAGAGACCCAGCAGGTCGAGGGGGAGGAAACTGGGGGGAGGCCTCACCCACCCCTACCTGGGCTCCCACCCCCAGCCTCACGTGGCCTGACCCTCCCCCAAGCCCTACAACCACAGCTGGAATCCTCAGAAGCCAACCTGGGACCAAAACGCAAATCCTGCCTGGGAGGGAGGTGGACCACCCAGGGCAGGGTAGGAAGAATATGGACAGAGAGGAGGGTGTCTGCTGGGCATAGGGCCAAGTCCCCACCCAAGCAGGTCCTGCCACACCCGCCTCCCTGCCGGCTCTCCCTAGTGTCAGCGCCAAGGCTGGGGGCGGGAGGCAAAGATGACCTAGATTGAGAAGTGAGAGCGCAGCAGAGGAAAAGCACGGGTTGTTTACTGTCAGGAGTGACAGATGAGAGACCAGCTGCAGAAAGGAAGAGGGCACAAGGGCTGTTCCTGCCTGGGTCCCGGGTGGAAGGAAGAGGAAGTCAGTGGACACGTCCCGGGCGGCTGCGAAAAGGCCCACCCCTGCTGAGCCAGACTAAGACAAGGTTGCCCCTGGGCAGGGAAAGGAATTGTGAAGTTGGCTCTGGGAGCAGACCATGCACCCCAAGAGCTGCAGTGTGAAAAAAGGACCAGAGCTCGGATTCTCCCACTGCTGAGTGGCATTGGGAGCTGGCGGACGGGAACACTGCCTTTGCCAGGGCTGCTGGCCTGGCCCGTTATGGAGCTTAGAGGGCAGGGAGACCACCTCCACCCCACGAGCTCCAAGATCCCTGAAAGAGGGAAGCTGCGGGGAGGCAGGAGCTGAGGCACCCAAGACTGCATGAGTAGAAAGACCGGCAGAGCCACTCACGTCTAAGTAGTTGGTCAGGGGCTCGCTGGCCACCTTCCCAAAGTTGGAGTACTTCCGGCCAATCTCATGCTGGTACTTGCTCAGGAAGTCCTCCAGGAGCCCATGCTCCTTCAGGGTCTTCCTCAGCGACTTTGCTTTCTGCAGAGGGACACTGAGGAGACAGGGAAGAGCTCATGTTGAGGGTGGACATCTCCACAGGCCATCCATCCTCCAAGAAACACCCTGCGGGTCCCTACACACAGGTCCCCAGCCTAGCCTCTGGTCACTATCCCATGGTCCCCTGGCTAATGGCTTGCATGCCTTCTTCTTATCATAATCCAAAGTAAGAAACATATTTTACATCAGTTCCAAAAACAATGTCTATTTGTATTAAATTCAATGCACTCTGATCTCTTCTAATCCTTTCTCTACTTTTATTTTATTTCATTTCATTTCGTTTTTGATTGGGGTCTCACTCTGTCACCCTGGCTGGACTCACTGCAGCCTCAGCCTCCTGGGCTCAGGTGAACCTTCCACCTCAGCCTCCTGGGTAACTACAGGTGCATGCCACCACATTCGCCTAATTTTTAAAATTTTTGTAGAGATGGGGTCACGCTATGTTGCCTGGTCTCCAATTCCTGGGCTCAAGCAATTCTCCTGCCTCAGCTTCCCAAAGTGCTGGGATTACAGGTGTGAGCCGCCACATCTGGCCACAAGTGCAGGTCTTAGATGATGCAGACAGGTCAACAGGGAAGAGATCAAGAGGGATACAGTAGATGCTGGTTCTAGACCTGGCTCTGCCTTTTCTGTGGCAACCTCAGAGTTTCCCCAAAACCCTCTGAGCTTCACCCGGGAGGCCCTGAAATTCCTCTGGTTTCAGTCACCTCCTCTGCAAATATAGGTTAACTCCTTCTTTCCAGCCATGCTCCTGACCCTGCCTTTGACCAACCAGGTGGCTTAACCTCTCTGGTTCTTTCCTCTCCTGTAGACTGGAGTAGAGCTTAGTGAGTCCCGTGGTCTCTTTCACCTCTAAAAATCTCTCTATCCTCCTCTGTGGGGTTGGCTTAAAGAACAGGATACAGCTGGGCTCGGTGGCTCAGCCTGTAATCCCACGCCTTTGGGAGGCCAAGGTGAGTGAATTGCCTGAGCCCGCGGGTTCGAGACCCGCCTGGGCAAGTGAGACTTCATCTCTACAATAAATCAAAAAATCAGCCGGACGTGGTAGCGCGTGCCTGTAGTTCCAGCTACTTGGAAGGCGGAGGTGGAAGGATCACCAGAGCCCAGCAGGTCAAGGCTGCGGTGGCCGGGAGCAGCCACTGCACTCCAGTCTGGGCGACTGGGTGAGACTCCAACTCAAAAAAAAAAAAAACAGGAGACAACAAACATTAAAGTGCATTAGGAGTAATGAAGCGGCAGCAGCATTAAAACTCACAGAGAGAGAGAGTTGTTAGCATCCCAAGTGGCCGTGTGAAACAGCTGTGTATGTGAATGATGGTCTCTCCTCCAGTGCCCTTCACCCCTAGCCCTCATACATGACTTCAGCCAGGACCTGGCTTATGAAGGAAGGGTTCACTCCCTTAGAAAAGATGCTTCTCAGCTTTTGTCTTAAAAGCTCAAGAGGAAGGAGGCTGAACTGACTTCCAGAGACCAACCCCTAGCCACCCTTTCCTGTGTCCCCACATCCAGGTCCCAAAAATGTTTCCTGATTGCCGGATCTGATTGCTGGATGCCTGGCAACTCCCATCAGAAGTGGCTGAGGCTCTGCTGAGCTGACCTATCCCAGCAGAAGGCCTCAGGGAGCCTCTCCTCAGAGAGGGAAGCCAGCAGCATACAGAAGGTGATTCCCCACCTCAAGCTGAGCCAGGAGGGAGGCCCTACGTGGAGGACCCCACCACCGCGGAGTCCTCAGCTCTAGTTCTGCCTGAGATCCCTGTGCTGGGGCCACCAACATGCCTGGGACCTGGAGGAACTTTCTTTTCAGAAGCACTACAAAGAGCCCTGATTGGTTGAAGGCACCCTGACCACTCTTCAGGGATCCTGCTTCCCCAGGGAGGAATTCTGGCTTTCTCGTGCCCAGGGCTTGACAGGGTTCAAACCTGAGCACCTGCCAGGGGTATGGTGTCGTGGCAAGAGTGTAAGTCCACCTGGGGCCGAGTCCTGGCTCCACTCTTACCAGCCATGTAGTCTTGGGCAGCTCCAGGACCCTCCCTAGGGGACCTCCCTAAACAACAGTCTCCTCATCTGTAAAATGTAAATAATAACATCTATGTAATCCATGAGGATTCATGATAGCCTAAGTAAAGGCTTAGTTAAGTGTCTGAGACCTCAATAAATATCAGTTATTGTTTTTAGAGGTCCTGGGACCTCCACCCACCCAGGACTTGATACAACAGAAAACTTAATTTTGTTCTACAAATGCACATATCGCTTTTGCAGTATGTCAGGCACCGTTTGGAAAGTTTTACAAATATTAACTCGTGCATTCGCCAAAACATCCCTGCAAGAGTGACATCACTGTTGTCTTAATTACAACAGATGAGGAAACTGGGACACAGAGAGTTAAGTTCCTTATGGAGTTGGGGATCAAATCCCAGTCAGTTTGACTTCAGAAGCCCCACCCTAGTCTCCCAGGCTGCCCATCTGACTTCCTGTTCTGGAAGTGTGGTGGCACCCTTAGAAAAAATGGTCCCAAGGTGCAAAGGAGAGATTGACGGGGAGCCATGATCCTGGGGGCCTGCAGCATTTCCTCCCAATAACCCCTGGGGGAACGATGGCTGGAAGACCACGGGTAGACTCTCCCAGAGAGAATGCAGGGGATGACCCCACCCACCCCGAGATCTGACACTCACCTGATGAACCCACTGCTGTGGGACAGAGCAAGGGCGACAAGGAGCAACACAAGACACCTCATCCTGGACCCTGGGCCGGCCACTGCTCCCACCAGCACCCATAACCATGGTTTTTATAGAGGGAGCCAGCTGCCCTCGGGCTGGAAGCCCAGACTTCAGAGATACCCTCTGACTTCAGGGCACTCCACAAAGTGAGACAGCACCTGGATACCTAAGACCCATGCCGATAAGGGCCACAAATGCCACCACTCCAGGGACTTCAAAGTTGAAGAGCACATTGGCTGATCTTTGGGTTGGGAAATGTCAACATAGGCCTCCTCTCTGACCTGATCTCCCCTCTCCTTCCAAACAGGGCGGGTGGGGGGGGAGGCGGGACTGCTGCCAGAAAGCTGTTTCATGCTCCTCTTTATGCTCTGTAAGAGGCTTGTTCCCCTCAGTGCCCACACCTGCCCTACCTTCCTCTCTGCTCCAGTTCAACTCCACTGGAAACTGGCAGCTTGCCCAATCCCAGAATCCCGCCTCCCTCACTCCCTCAGCCCAGTTTTCCAGGGAGAGACTCGGTCTTCTTCCAAAGTGGCATCTGTAGCCGAGAGTGCTTGTGCCATCTGCCCCCAACCACCGTGAGTGGGGCTTGCGATTTAGGGCACAGAGCAGGTGTGCCCCATGTTCAAAGCATGATCTAAGAGAGAAGACAGGTCCCAGGCTCATGCACCCCTAAGGGTGTGTGCCCTTGTTCCATGTTAGGAGGGTGAAGGCCAAATGCCAGGTCACATTAGCAATTGGAAGACCAGGACAGGGCACTACCAGGAAGGTAGACAAGGACCCCATGCACAGGAAAAGGAGGGACATATGGCTGTGACAGAGTAGGGAACGGGTCAGGCCAGCTCTCAGCATCTGAGTCCCCTCAAGGGTGTAGGGAGAGGCTATCAGAAGTACACAGGCAGCCTGTCATTCCAGTGCTTTGGGAGACTGAAGAGGGAGCATCGCTTGAGGCCAGAAGTTCAAGACCAGCCTGGACAACATAGTGAGACTCTGTCTCTACATACATACATGCATCATACATACACACACGGGAGAGAAAAAAAAGAAGCACACACATGGCAGAGTGCTGAGTAGAGGACCCTGGAGTTCAGGCCAGAGAGAACAGATATCTTCAGACCGGTAGAGAGATTCGGGATAAGAAGGAAAACAAAGACTGTGGCCATGAACCTGATGGAGATCATGTCCCAAGGATGAGGGGAAGTTGCACGCTGCAAAATCAGGATTACATCAGAATCAGGTGGGCAAAATGAGAAGGCAAGGGACTCAGAACCACCGGTGTGCCAGGGAACACGGGGCCAGCACCTGACACCTGCCGTGACAGATGTCCACGTGCACAGGGAGGCACCGTGGGGGTGGAAGAGGGGGACAGCCAAGGAGGCGACTGTGTGGTAACCCCAGAAACACTGGTGACACCAAAGATTAGACTCCCAAGTGGCACACATTTGACTTGTAAGGACTTCAAGGGGGCGCCCAGGAGACCAGTCAACAGGAGGAGTGAGTGTTTCTTAAGAAAAGGTAGAAGACGGCCAGATCCGTTCCTTCACAAATCTGACAGCAGATTCCCAGAAGGCCAGGACACTTCTGCTCCTCATGCCCTGGGCAGTGGTCACAAGCACATCCAGCTTCCTGGCACCCTCCCTCCCCAAAAGCCAAGGAAGCAGAGAGCAAAATCAACACCAAATGGTACAGCTCACTTCCTGAGTTCTTCCCTGAGGACACTGCCCTGCCAGGCCTGGGCCTGCATGCCCTGCACCAATAGCCCTATCTCTGAGTAGGATTTCTTCCCACACGCCAGCACTAAGCATAGTTCATAGTAGATGCTCAAAGAATGCTTGGTTAAGCAGATGCACGAATGCATGGCCTTGCCACCACCCTCGGGAAGTAGCCAGAATTACCAGGTGACGTCTCTATGATATCCCGGAGATGAGGAGATGGAGACACAGAGAGGTTGCAGGGCTTGCCTGTCAAGAAGACAGAGCTTGAAACTGTCCGAAGACCCCTGGTCTAACACACTGCACACTACAGGGCCCAGCGTGCTGTGGCAATCTCATCAGTTTACAGTGTCAAGTCTGTGGTAGAAGTGTCTCTAGCTCACTCCCCCCAACCTCTGGGCATTCCTCGAGCGGGTCATGCCCGTGTGCAGGGACCCTGTCTATAGCATCTAGGGCTAGGACCCTCTGGCACAGCAACATCCAGAAGGAGGGGTGAGGAGGGCAGAAGGGGTGCTAGACCACTCGGCTTCATGTCACCAGTGGCCCAGCCTGACCCAACAGCAAACTCTCCCAGATGATGACCCTGGATGACAGACTCAGCCAACTCTCCCTCTAGAAGGTGACCCTCTAAGCCTAGAATCAAAGATCCCTTAACATGGGTTGCTCTGTGTTTGTTCTCAAGATTAGGATCATTCTAACAGCATTCTAATGGGTACTATCAGGACTCTGCACGGAGAGCACAGAGCATTAGGGGAGCTTATCCACCGGGAAGAGGGAGGCAAGAAATGCAAAAAGCTTTTAGAAAAGCCCCGATAAGATGTTATCACTGGCTACCTGGTGCCACATGGGAATAAATTCCCTTGGACTAGATCCCTTGAGCCTGGGGACTGCCCCACAAAAGTGACTGCAACAAATCAGGGCCCAGGAACACACCCCGTTGGCATGAGCTTAAGGTCTCCACTCAGATGTGAGCACCGACAAAGCCAGGTCAAGTCCATATCTTGAGCATCTTCTATGCACTTGCACTGGACACGCAGAGACAGAGCTGCCACCATCTGACTCAGCAGTCCCACTTCTAGGTATATACCAGACGAATTGAATGCAGGTCTCAAAGAGATGTTTGTACACCCATGTTCACAGCAGCATTCTTCACAATGGCCAAAGGACAGAGTCAAGTGTCCATCTGCAGACAAACGGATAAACTAAATGTGGTGTATACATACAATGGAATATTATTTAACCTGAAAAAAGAAAGGAAATTCTAACACATGAAAGAATACAGATGACCCTTAAGGATACTATGCTAGGTGAAATAAGCCAGCCACAAAAAGACAAATACTGTATCATTCCACATATAGGGAGTCCACAGAGAAGTCAAAATCAAAGAGACAGAAAGCAGGCTGGGTACGGTGGCTCAGGCTTATAATCCCAACACTTTGGGAGGCCAAGGCAAGAAGATTGCTTGAGCCCAGGAGTTTGAGAGCAGACTGTGAACATAGGGAGACCTTGTCACTACATAAAAAGATCAAAAAATTATCCGGGAGTAGAGATGCATGCCTGTAGTTTCAGCTACTCAGGAGGCTAATTTAGAAAGATCGCCTGAGCCCAGGAGGTCAAGGTTCTGGTGAGCCATGATGGTGCCACTGCACTACAGCCTGGACAACAGAGTGAGACCCCCAACTCAAAAGCTATGATCTGTATTGCAGCCTGGGTGGCAGAGTGAGACTCTGACTCAAAAAAAAAGAAAAAAGAAAGTAGAATGTTGGCTGCCAGGAGCTGGGAAGAGGGAGAGATGGGGATTTATTATTGAAGGGATAGAGAGTTTCAATTTAGGAAGATGAAGAAGTTCTGAAACGGATGGTGGTAATGTTTGCCCAACAATGTGAATATACTCAGCGCTGCTGAACTGTACCCTTACAAATGGTAACTTTTATAAAACACCATAATAAATTAAAGTTCACTTGTAAAGAAAAAGAAACATATTCTTGTAAACCAAATATCATAAACTGTAATATAATAAATGGAATATACACTTTTTTAAGACGTCGGCTATAAAGGAATATAAAATGTTCTCTCTGATCAGGACAACTGGCCCCTCCCCAGCATAGGACCTGTGTCATTATGGAAAGGAACAGGCTCAGAGCCTGAGTCATGGGGTTTTCAGAGCTAGAGGTGACCTTGGCAATGTCTGCCACACATAGGGGTTCCTGAGTGCCCACTGTGTCCCAGGGCCCCAAGTCAGTCCTCAGCTGTGTGACAGCCATCCCTCCCAGCCTAGGCGTCCTCACCAGTCAACATCCTCCACCTCGTAGGGTTTGTGTGATGATAAATAAGTTGCCTGGCAAGCAGCAGGCGCTCAATAAATGCAAGCTCATATTATTCTCCTCGCGTTTAATCATCACCAAAAGCATGCAGGACAGTTGCTATTATCTACATTTTACCCATGAGAAAAGCAAAGCTTTAAGAGGTCAAATCATTACTCAGCTCCAAGATCAGAAGATAATGGTGCCAGATTTCAATCCAGAAACAGTTTGACTCCAAAACCCATGGTCTTCTCACTCTCGCCTGCTCAGGCCTCGTTTAGCAGATGAGAAACCCAAGGCTCGGTGACATTGGGAGAGCGGAGACAGCTCAGGAACCCACGGGGCCAGGTAGGTAACATAGATGGTTATGGAGGCCAGTGTGAGAAGGATCACCTGCCAGGAATCCACCAAGTTATCGCTGTTTTTTTTTTTCTAAACTAAACTCCAGACTGAATGACATGAGTGAGACTCCAACTCAAAAACAAAAACCAAATTAAAAAATGAGCCAGGCATGGTGGCGGCGTGCCTGTAGTCCCAGCTACTTGGGAGGCTGAAGCAGAAGGATCGCCTGAGCCCAGGAGGTCAAGGTTCTGGTGAGCTATGATGCTGCCACTGCACTCCAGCCTGGGCAATAGAGTGAGATCCCCAACTCAGAAATCAAAAAAGAAAGAAGAGCAACCATTTAATTTTGCACTGTGCAGACAAAATAGGACAGATGTGTAAGGTAAGTCTCTCCCCTCACCCAGTGACAATTTCCGGTAGGAGCCACTTCACTTACTGGCAAAGCCCAGACTACAGAAAAGTCTCCAGGCTTCTGAGCTATGCTAGAACCAGCCAGTGGCTTCTCCAACCTGACCCAGACCGGACCCAAGCAGGAGGTCTGAAAAGAAAGCATGAGAGATGGGCAGAGAACGCATGAGACCCAACCCTGGCAGTCTCAGCTGAAAGACACAGGTGTGCAGACACCAGCGGGGCCATCGAACCTCCGAGAATCTCACTTCAAGA